GGCTTCTGGTCAAGATGGCAGAATAGACGTTCCCCAGCATCACTCTCTCCCACAAACCAACCAATCTACAACTATAAAAAAGCAACAATAGCCAAGCTGGGGCATCTAGAGCTCAGGGGAAGAGGAAGAGAGACCTACGGAGTTCATGAAGGTGGGAGAAGCCACAATGAAAGAAAGAAAAAACTGCTCGGAGCATTTTGGGCTGCAGCCACTTTAAGGCTGGAGCTGCTGAGTGCATGGAGCAGGAGCTGGCAGAAGCCATAGCTGTGCCCTTCAGATGGAGTTACTTGGAGGCGGCAGGAGGGAAGAGAGCCTTGGCAGCCCCCAGACAGCAAGACCACTAATAGGGTTCCCGTGGACCCACGCGGGAGAGTGGAGCCAGAACAACTGAAAAAAGGGGAGCCATTCAGAGGCCGGTGAGTCATCGCAAGGGACCGGTGCAGGGCCCGTCCCATGGGAAATGTTTGGAGCACAGGCAGTGGGGCAGACGGGCCCACTGAGAGAATGGGACACAGCAAGGACAGCCGATCCGCCCCGCAATCAGCACAGGACCACTCAGAGGAGACTGGTCAGGAAGGCAGAATTGCATGGGGTGCAGTTTGACGGAAAAACTCAGGCCTAGATCAGAGTTTCTACACAACCCAGATCCACCGGGTCTCTGGAGAGCCAAAGTACCTATAAGGTCAACCATTAAACCCTGAGCTGCACCAAAAGCCTTTCCTAGGCAAACAACAGCAAACCAGCAATTTAGCTCAACCACAAAGCTCAAGTACTGGTTCCCACAGAAAGCTCCCCCATTTGAGAAGTAAGCAAAGGATAGAAAATTAGGTCCGGCCCAGGCACACCACCAGCAAGCCTGGGAACTGGAGGCTGGGAGCTGGGGCCAGACCTCCCACATTCAGGCACACTACACCAGCACCTCAGGGCCCACCTGGGGACCCAAGGCATGGAGTCAGGGACCAGATGCACTGCCCCCCGCCCAAAACCAGGCACACCACCAGAGCCTTGTGGCCCCACCCGGGGGCCCAGGGCATGGACTCAGGGACTGTAACCCCTTCCCACAACCAGGCACACTGCGCCAGTGCCTCGGGGCCCGCCCACGGACCTGAAGCATGGAGAAGGGGACCAGACCCCCCTCCCATAACCAGGTACACCGCACCAGCACCTTGGGGACTGGCCGGGGACCCAAGGCATGGAGAAGGGGACTGGACCCCCCACATACATAACCAAGCACACCATGCCAGCGCCTTGGGGCCTGCCGAGGGATCCGAGGCATGGAAAAAGGGACCCGACCCCCCTCCCAACCAGGTATATGGCGCCAGCACCTTGGAACCCGCCCAGGGACCCAAGGTATGGAGAAGGGGACCAGAACCCACTCCCACAACCAGGTACACTACGCCAGCACCTTAGGGCCCGTCTGGGGGCCCAGGACATGGAGCCAGGGACTAGACACTCCCTCCCACAAACAAGCACACTGCCAGCACCAAGGAGCATGCCAAAAACATCACCTCTATGTGGGTGGCCCACCACAGCCACCACAGTAACCATGGCTGCCTCGAAAGCAGCTAGATGCCACAACCACCACACAGATGGTCCACCAGCCACTGGAGTGCACTGACACAAGGAGAGTCACCAGCAGAGATAAAGAAGAGGATGTCTCTCTCCACAAAGCCCATTTCAGAGTGTCAGAAGAAGTATCTGCTCTATAATATTGGGGGACCTGATGACACCTCTCAGCATTAGATCTAGGCAACAAATCAACAAACTAACCATTATTCTTTCAGAAGGAGAGAAGAAATCGAGGGTAATTAGAGGGGGGAGGAGAGAGAGAGAGGGATAGGGAGAGATTGGCATAATAATTACGATTTGTAACAATATATATGCTAGTAATATTGATTTGATCAACATAACTCAATGCTGAACCTCAAAAATATGTATAACACATACTGACTCAATAAAAAAATTAATTTAAAAAAAATTAACCTCAAAACCAAAAAAAAAAAACTACCTCTCATACATTCTTTGAAAAATTCAAGCCACAAACAAGGATTAAAAGATTTGACAATTTATTTTTAAATATTTTTCTAAATTAAGATTCCTTAAGACTGATCACTTAGCTCAGTTGGTTAGAGCACAGTGTTAGAACACTAAGGTCAAGGGTTTGGATCCCCAGACCCACCAGTAGCCAAAAAAAAAAAAATTAAGAATCCTTACATTTCAGGAAATAGTCTATGATAACTTCTAGTGTTTAAACATTCTCCAAAGAGCAAACACATAATATAATCATTGAACATACTGGAACACATAATATAATCATTGAACATACTGGAACAGTCATATTTTCTTAAATCAAGATTCTCAAAGGTTTGAGAAAGAAAATACCATCTAAAACTAGTATGGCAAAAGTGGAAAACTATGCGAGGGGGTCTTCAAAAAGTTCATGGAAAGATTCATATTGTCTTTTAATTATATTTTACCACAAACTTTTTGAAGTACCCTCATATATACCACATGGTCAAAAACAGGTGAAAGAGGAAAAGCAAAAAGGTCAAAACAGAAATGGCTCTAGGAAAATTATTAGATAAAATAAAAATTGATAATCTAGCATGTATATATATAGACTACATGCTAGTGTGTACAAATATACATTAATATTTAGTTATACAGTGCTTATTAGGTGATTAGACCTTATAAAGCTACTCATGTTACTAAGTTTAAAAAATAGCACACCTCTCTGGGTTTTCTTATAATATAAAATGAATGGGCCGGCCCGTGGCTCACTCGGGAGAGTGCGGTGCTGATAACACCAAGGCCACGGGTTCGGATCCCATATAGGGATGGCC